CTGAACTAACCGTCTTCCCCTCACCTTTCAGTTCCGGTTGAGCAGTGTTCAGAGCAACACTGGATTCCTCACAATCTTCTAAATAAAACTGTTAAACTTTTCCCCCGGTCTCTCTGTATTGGTTTACTGCTTTTGGGTCTAATCATAGTTAAAATCATGACAGCAACTATGAGTAATGCAATGCAAAAGAGCTGGATAGAAATCTTACGATAAGTAGCACCCTCTAAAGGTACCTTCATGCCCCATGACATGGCTGTGATGACTTTATGCTGTGGGGAGGATTTTCTCTTGGAGGGAAAGGGACACAGGTTGTGGGCAGAGATAGTACAGGCCAATATTAGAAGAAATCCTGTTAGAGGCTTCAAAAGACTACTGTAGAAACAACACTAAACATGCAGCCAGAGCCACACTAAAATGGTTTAGATCAAAGCATATTCATGTGTTAGAAAGGCCCAGTCAAAGTTCAGACCTAAATTCAATTTAGAATCTAAGGCAAGACCTAAAAGTTAATGTTCACAAAATCTCACAATGCAACAAGGCTGAGACTGAGCTTAGTTGAAAAAAATGGAGCAAACATTTCAATCTCTAGATATGAAAAGTTTTGACTGATAGGATTTAAAAGCATATCATCCCTTACTCCTCTCAAAGTTAAAGTTCAAATGTCTTTAACTATTACATACTGACCGACACTGTAAGATTAGATTAATTTAAATGTGACTACATGTTTTAGAAATTAAAAGCACTTTAAACTTCAAGCTGTTTTATATTCATCTATAATAAAGGAATAAAGAGCATCTCAGCTAGAGAAAATACAGTAATTTCTAAAGTAGGTTTCTAGCTCAACTATAAATAAACGCCTTTTAACTGAGCTATGGCCAGGCTGGTCTGCAGCCAGGGTAGAAGAGGCCGAAGAAGCAGGACAAAGTAAAAAGCTGTGTATTAAAGAGATCAGAGTGAGATCACATATTCGCCATGCTTAGAAAACAAGTAGAATTTGTATAAATCCTAACAGTTTTATCATTTGAAATACTTTAGGTTTAGGTTATATTATCTGATGGCATCATCAATACTATCATGTTGATAAAAATGCAGAAGCTTGTGTGCATCGAATGTCTTTGGTTAAGAAAGGCATAGCAGGAAAGCTTAAGTGGGCCAGAGGAATCGTAGGTGAAGCAGGGCTGCTGTGGGAAGAAATGGTGAAGTTGATGAATGTGCTCTAAGGTGTCATGGGAAAGCAATGAAAATAGGACAGAGCAGGTTTATGAAGCAGAAAAGTCTCAGGACAAACTGTACAGGCTGCAGATGGAAAGAGAAGCAAGAGCTCAAAGGATAGATAGATGCTGGTCACTGTCCTGTTGGTCAGGCGTTCTTATGTTTGAAGACATTACTCTGAAGGTACATTTACTATGGATATACTTATCATAAAACTATTAGAATATAAATGCCAATAAAGTGTTTTCTGTGCAATAACTAAATTGAATAAAAACATTTAAGTTAAAAGAAGTGGAGCACCAAAATGGGTTTATTTTTTGACCGCCTGTTGATCTGAACTTTTGATCCACCCACATTGTACAATACACCACGGTTAATAGCATTACTGTAAATGCTCCTTACCATGATGAGTCCACTTCCATGCTACATGACAGTTTCAGTTCAGTTTTAGGTTTGTAGAGCCAGACCTTGACTCAACAGTTCTTCTTTTCATTGTTGCCAGAGTTTAATCGTCAATTGAACCAAGAAGAAGAGAAGGAACTAAAAGGAAGGACTTGCTCTAACTAGATATTAGAAGTCCTCATAGTTTTACCTTTAATACATGTAATACTCTTACCTGATTTTCTCTCCAGCATTCACTCTCATTTAGTTATATTGCTCTCACTTTTATTTCAGTTTTGTTCAGCCTGTCTGTTTAAGATCCATAGATTGTTTGAGTTTTACTCCCTCTCCCTTGGATTTTCCTTTGTTTAGGCCCATTTTCAGGAGCTTATTTTATTAAGCTGTTTCATATTCATTCGGCCTCTTTGGGTGAGATCTGTCTGATTTGGGTCGTCCAGAAAAACAAACAAATAACAAAATCTATCTCTCCTGGCTTGCAGCTTCATATATTAATTATCTTCTGTTTATTATAGGGCAATAGTTTAGGTCAGAGGCTCAACAGTGATATCAAACATATAAAAAACTGCCTTCAGAACACCTGATCCATGCAAACAACAAGCTTCTTGTCTCGTACCGTCTTCAACCTGATGCAAAATGGTAATTTGCCGAGTTGAAAGGAAAAGGGGAATTCAAATAAACTAGTAAAGGATATAGATAACTTTGGGTTATTTAGTTTTTATTCAGCGGGTATAAGTTGTTATTTAAGAAAAGTAGCTGTGAAGGAAATTAAAGAAATAGATCAACAGGAGATCATACCCTTGATGTTCAGCAGAAGGGCAGAATCATTTAAAATGAATGTGCAGTGAAGATTGTTATTTTAGTTTTAGTCAATCTCAATGAGCATCTCTAACGTGTCACTAGAAACATTGCTCTTAAAACAATAAGAGTTGAAAGAGATTCTGAAATTCAAAAGGTTTGAGGAAGAAATTAAAATCTTGTCAACACTGGAAAAAAAAGAAAGCTTGATGATCTCAAATTTCCTTCCATCTACTCTGGATACAGAGCCTGAGAAGTGAAGCTTTTTAGAGAATCAACAATGAAATTATTTTTTATTTCAAATGACAAAATAAGGACTAAGACACTTATACCAAAACAAGTATCCGATCATCTTTGGAAGCATGGTGAGTGGGGGGAATCACTAAGAAATCTTACAATGTAAGTTTAGAGACAATAACTAGAATGTTAAGCAAAATGGGGGAATTAGGAACATATTTTAAAATAGACAAGGACTGTGAGGAAACCTTCAGCTCAGGATATAAGTTGTCCTTTAGCCCAACCTGGAGAGATTTCAATTTATTTTAGCTAGCATTCATCAACTGTCCATAAACTGGTAACTGTGTGGTGTTAGGTGATACAACAAAAACATTTTATCAATTTAAGTTAATAGATTTTGTCAATATGATCTTGAAAGGAGTCTTGAAAGAAATAATTGGTCCTTAAAAAAAACAAAACAAAGGATAGCTTAAATAAAATGTCAAAGTCTAAAATGAATTATTTTTCTGCTGGTAATGATTGTATTTAAACAATGCACTAAAAACATTTAATTCTTACTTATAAGATACAGATAATGCTTGTCTATTATCTTGCAGTTAAGCTCTGTAGCATTGCTCGTTGAAAGCTGACCTAACTGAGCAGGTAGAAAGAATAGAGCGAGGTAAACTAACATACCCTCCAGTTCTTTGTCAGGCCACCAGCCCAGCTCACAGGCCTTGCAGGTGAACTCGTCCTGCACATATTCGTTGTCTTTGCAGGGGGTGCATATCCAGCAGCAGCTCACCTCCCCCTTTCTAATAACCTGAGCAAAAAAAAGAAATAAAAAAGTAAACAATATGAATGCAAACACAAAGACACTATTAGTTTAAACAGAAAAAGTAAAGAAATGTCCGACTTTAGTAGTAATAAATGGACTGAATGAATATATATATATATATATATATATATATATATATATATATATATATACTGCTGTTCATATATATAACTAATTAATAACAACTCATTTCAGCTGTAAAACATTAAGGAAATATTAATAGAAACCTGAAAAAAACTCAACTAGAATTACAGTCAGTATTTTCTGTAAAGCTATAAATGTAACCATAAAAAAGAATTAGAATTAGATCATTAACAGAAATTACCTTAATCTATGTAATCTGGATCTAAGGAAAACAAAATCACTTCTATATTTCATGTCAAAATCATGTCATATTTCTTAGGTTGAAAACTTCAAAAAATGACAAAAATATGTAAGATAATAATACACATATTTTTCAGTCTTGAATCATGAGATATTATATCTACCGTAAAGTTTTGCAAAAAAAGCAACAATTAATGAAATGTTGTTTGTTTTGTTTTTTTTCAAAAAAGTTATCAATCCTTCAGTGAGAAAAGCATGTGTGCTGATTTATGTAATCTTTAGCTGCAATGTTCTGCTATTCTTTTATAGGGTAAGATGCCCTTGTGCAAAAACATTAAACGTGTTAGCAATCAGCAGTGTCTGGTCACAGCATGTTGGAGAAAAGTCCTGAACCTTGATTTCTCCTTTGGAGCAGGGCTCACTGCAGACGGATCGGACCATGTCGCTGCTGTTCATCTGGAACATTTCGTCGTCGAGGCTCAGCATGCCCTCGTGCCAGGAGCCGATGTTGATGTAGTCATAAACTCCAGGCTCCACATGTTGGAAGTTCATAATCTCATACCTGAAAGTGGATGGATTAACAGAAAATAACTGGCTAGAAATTCAACTTTAAAAGTTTAGTGATTAACCACTGAGGGCTGCACAGACCCACAAGCTTGACTCCATCCAAACCACATAGATTAATCTGGTCTCACCAGACTACAGGACATGTTCCAGGTCACCATGTCCTCAGTTTTTCCTAAGAAAACTCTTAGCAGGCTTATTTCTGTGACGACAGCCATGCAGACAGATTTGAAGCGATCTGTACTGTTTGCTCTGAGGACTGAGAGGCAGCAGTGACATTAACAGAACTTAAATGTCTATTTTTCAAAAGACAAAGTCTGGATATGATGCTAAGAACATCCATTCAATGTCACGATCTTGGCACTGACGGCAGGATTTGGCTCTTTTCTCCTATTTGCCCAGCAAGCTTCACTCCGTCTTCTGGGCTCAGACTGAACTTTACCTGGTTAGAGACTCACACGCTAATTATCGTTTCCCGTCTGAGTCCTGAAGTCACTAACTTGAGAGCCCGTCTCTGTAGAGTATCAAGAGAACCTGTCGCTGTGCTACTTTTCAAAGGAAATGCCACCATTATGTAGAGGGACTAGTGTTTCTCTCAGATCATCCGGGATTTATATGCCATGAGGGGCCATGTTGAACTTTAAGTGACCAGTATGAAAGTGTGAGAGCACTAAAATCAAATTTAACACACCTGCTCCCCATTCACAGCTGACATGTTGTAATACTGAGGAGTGACATTTCACCAGGGAGGGAAAATGGCTTTTACCTACAGCTTGAACATGCACTTTTAGGGCTAGTGGCTCAAGCTTGTTGCCAGTGGTTTAATGCTACGTTTAGACCGCAAGCACTGGAAGCAGCAAAAAAGCTATTACTGCTTTTTTTTTATGCTTGTACACATTAAGTTTCGACAGGCTTCCAGTGCATCTTTGACGCTCCTGAAGAGCATCCAGTAAAGTGTGCCCAGATGCATCCGATGCTTCTGCTGCTTCTGTGTTCAATGGCAGAGAATGACTTTGCTATATTTGCTGGTATAAGTGTGTATTGGTCCAGCAGGAATGCGCCATGACTGGAAATTCCCTTCAATGGCAGACTCTTGCCCGGTCGCCGCTTGGGGGTTTTCAGCTACTGTTCGCAGCCACTGGAAGATGTTTTAAATGTAGTAATCCAAACTGCAGGCAAAAGAATAATAGAAACCGGCAGGTTTCAACATTTTAGGTTAATTTAGGCGTTAATAAACTGTTTTGGAGGAGTGATCATAGCGCTCTGCATCAGCAGCACTGTGTCTGTCTCCCTGTCAGCTCCCAGATCAGCTTATCTGATTGGTTGATGAGGCACGTCGAGCAGCAAAAGTTTAATTTTTCCAACTCCAGCAGCTGCTGCTTGTGCAGCACGTCCCACGCCTCAGATGCATCAAGATGCGCTGCTCCTGCTGCTCTAGGATTTTTTGATTTACCTTGATGTGCGTCAACCATTGACTTTGCATGTAAACCAGCTGCTTCTGCTGCATTTGCAGCGTGCGGTCTGAACGTAGCAAGAGACATTAATGGTTTAATATCTTTATTGTTATTACATGAAAAGTGTTTTGTTAGATGCTATATTTAGCTTACCTTCCAGGTGAGTCTCCGTTCTCATCGAACCATATATCTTCCCCAGATACTCCTGTGAAAGATGTCTTAAGGAGAAATTCCAGCAAGTGGCTCCCGTCAATGGGTTTCATGTTATCACACAGCCCTACATGGCCAGGACAGAGGTGAGTGTGCATGTCATGCAGACCATGCGCCATGGCGTAGATGGCGTTGATGACGAAGCCCATCTTGCTGTCTTGAACATAGTTATCTTCAAGACTTTCATAACCTGTCCACAAACAAGTCAACAGTGAGGATTCTCCTTTCAGATAAAAAAAAAAATCTATTTGAAGAATGAAAATAAAAGCCCTGCAATGTTTCATCAATGCAAGCAATAGCATGTTTTATGTCACTTAATTTCAAATGTACTCAACAGGTTGTCTGGCAGGATGCAGGTTATTACAAAGGAGTGATAGGGTGCACGCGGATGCAGATACTGTTCTCTGAATTCAGGCTGCTAGAAAGGCACTTCTTTTTTTCTCTGTGGGAGACTGCTTTTATAAAACTGAAAGTCTCAGAATATGGCTTCAAAGAGACCTTGTTACCGTGGTAATGCTATTCATTCTTGGATTCATGAGTCAGGGTGTAATTAGAAATTGGACTAACCTGAACAGCAAGGACTTTTTGTTCTCCTCAAGTAGGGTAATAAAAAAAGTTCCTTGTTTTTGGATTTTTTTTTAATCTTAGCTTGCAAATATCAGATTTTACAGCAGCAATAAATTATCAATAATTAAAAAATACATGACAGAATAATATTGAAGTAGTAATCATTCAAACACCCCTATCAGTTAAAAGCTGGAGAAAGCAGGGTTTTTTTTTTATTAAAAGGTGTTTACTCTACATTTAGTGTGCTTCATTTACTCAAAAACAACAGACTACATACATACTGCAGTATATTTGCCTCAGGCACTGGGTTTTCTCATAAAGACAAGATTAGCCGCAATGCAAATCCCTCTTGTAGCAATCCTGTTGTGTTAATAGCTGTGTGTCTTCTCGCTGAAAGTCCAAAAAAATCAATGATTTTCTTTGCATTTAAACTAAGGCAACTAATAATAGTTTGTTATATTGATTTCTCCACCTTCATGCTGAGTACAAGTTAGCTTTACCCTGTCCATGTACATCGCTTTGAAAAGTATTCATACCCCCTAAATCATGTGCACATCGTCATGTTACAGTTAGTATTTTTAAGGCTGTACATGATCGCAATTAATACAACAAAGTGCAAAGACATGGATGGGAATAACAGTGTTGTTAAAGTATTTTACAAACAAAAATCTGAGAAGTCTGGGGTTCAGTTCCATTAATCAAAAATGAATAACTCTAGAAAAGTGTTCCTGTCAGGACTCCTGTCTTTGTGTTTGTGTTTCTGTGTTTGTCTCCCTTCCTCCCGCAGGAGGCGCCTGGTTCTGGTCCGCCTCCTCACACACCTGCTGATGGTTTCCTCGCTAAACGACGTGTTCTTAAGCTGCTGACTGCCACTACCTTGCACCAGAGTGTTTGCCAGTTTAGGGTACTCTAGCCAAGCTGAGTTTTGCTGAGCCAAACTGAGTTTTTGTCAACCTGAGTTTAACTGTTTTTTTTTCTTTGCCTCTCGGCAGGAAGTCATCCTGCAAACTGGTTTTCTCGGACCTTCTCTCCCTGGAAGGATCAACTGAGCTTCAAACTGAGCAGGAGTTCAAATAGGAGGTTTGGATCCACTTTCCCCAAGAGATCGTTTGAGCTTCTCACTGAGAAAGGGATTATTCTCCACTACGACCCGTTCAAGTACCGCAGGAAATGTGAGTGGCAGTCAGTTTCTCCATTGACCAACTAACAACCGCATTCTGGGTAAAACCTGTTCCACCCTCCATCGAATCAGACAAACACTGGACCCACGGCACACAGACAGGAGTCAAGGATTCAACAACTTCTCTGGAAACGTGAGTCGGCAATCAAATCCTCTTCTCCAAGTTCACAAGTCAAATTCCCCACTGAGCCTGAACTAACCGTTGTGTCTTCCCCTCACTTTACAGTTCCAGTTGAGCAGTGTACAGAGCAACACTTCTCCCTCTGTTTAACTTCTTCAATAAAACCCGTTAAGCATTTTCCCTGGTCTCTCTGTTAGGTTTTCTGCATTTGGGTCTGAACTTTGTAACATCATGACAGTTCCATTTTCTATGGGAAGAGTAGAGTACAACTGCTGTGTGGTAAGACTAGAGGTCAGTATTGATAAGAGTGTTGCGATACAATATGTATCATGATACTTGCCGATATTGCAACGTCACTATACACTCACCGGCCACTTTATTAGGTACCCCATGCTAGTAACGGGTTGGACCCCCTTTTGAGAACTGCCTCAATTCTTGGTGGCATAGATTCAACAAGGTGCTGGAAGCATTCCTCAGGGAG